AAAGACCATCGACCATCGGAACCCGCAGAGTAGCTAAGTCCCGGTTCAGATGGATGTCGGTCTTAGTGGAATTAATAGACCCATTGTCAGTAATAAGAGCGGACATTGACACCAGATTACGGCGCATCCCAGGCACATAAAGTACCGAAGGCAGGTGTACGATCGTGAGTTCTCCATCGGAAGAAAACACTTCCAGATCAACCTGACCCTCACCAAGTGCGGAGAGCCTTTGCTGGCCTCCCACCTTAACCTCACGAGGAGCCATATACGGAGAGTAATTCCGCATGGAACTGAGGCTTTTGGCGATGTGATGCGACGCTCCGGAGTCAATGAGCCAGGAGGACGAGTCGAATGAGATTTCGTCCATCGTCACAGTGTAGATCTCAACATCGCTATTGAAATCATCTACCACGGCGACATTTGCGGACGCACGGAATGGACGGCGGGGTCGACCTTGTTGCGGTCGAGAGCGATTATTCTGAGACGATCCGAATGAGTTAGAGTCATTCGATCGTGGTGAGTTTGAAGAACCCGAACGGCCTGAGGGGCCTGGATTACGAGAACTGTTCCGCCGGGAACTATTGCCACCATTCGGGTTACATTGAAGTTTTCCTCGATTATCACGCCGCGAGTTATTATTCATTTGCGAATAATTGGGAGCAGAGTTGAAATCACTGCGACCATTATTCGGACGCTGATTGAATTGACGTAGAGTTTCGATTGAAATTTCCTCGATTATTATTCTGACGAGATCGATTCGAAGCAATGCTCATTTTAGAGAGCATCGCCGTCGCCGTCGTGGGCTCGACACCGCTGGAGGACTGTCCAGCGGTCGAACGCCTTGTCTCATACTGATCGATCAAGTCGACCAATTTTGTCATAGTCTGTTCGGTGGCCGCCAGGGTTCCCCAGAAGAGATCAAGAGATTCCCATGAAGGTGGAAGCAAGCCCAGAAATCTCTGGGTCGCCATCTGGTCGGACTCCGAGACACCTGACAAAATGAGATCACTGAGCAAGACTTTAAAGACCTGCACATTTTGCATGACCGTTTTGGACGGGCTATACTTGAAGTCATCATATTTCTTTTTCGCTGCTCCCTGCGAGGCGTAATTCTTGCTGGCAAAACGTTTTTCAAGAACAGCATATATGTCCTTAGCGGACTTCGCATCCAATTCCGAATCAGTTGCATTGAAGTACTCGATCTTCAAACCCATAGAAATGGAATTAAGGAGTATAGCTCTGGCCGAACCATTTGCGGCCTCGTAGTTAGCATCATTAATCGGAAGCTCGCCCTTCATGGCCTTGAGCGCGCCGGGCGATGCCCCAAGGAGCGCCCGAACGCAAATTCGCCAAGGTGTCCAATTCTTTCCGTTGTCCATAAGTTTTATGCTTGACAAATGTCTGAATTTCGAACCAGGTTCGCTTTTTTCATCTCCCGGCATGTCTGCCAATAGGGGAGTTCGAGATGGGATCGTGATAAACTCAAACGTATCCTCAATCTCCGGAGCACTTTGCATTAGCCGAACAACACCTGATCACAGCCTGATTCTGCCGTACTACTAATACCGAAAGGTTAGAGTAGACAGCTTACCCCTTCGAGTTTCGTCCTCAAAGGTCACAGATGTTGATGGTAAGCAGAGCTGATTCGTGCTGATAACGTGACGAGACGTGATGTCTGATGACGGGAAACGTACAGGCTCAGAGAGCGTGAGTGAAGACTCAGGAGTACAGTCTCATGAAGAGGTTACACCACAGTGAAGTTTATTCAGAGCAGTCTCCTTATATACTGGAGACTAGAGACGGGGTGCATAAGCAGGCTCCGCCTACCTGTCATGTGTACCTACATACATAGTACGCTGTATTAATCTCGAACCCCACTTTCATACAAAGGGGTGAGTCCTATCTTACGACGGAACCGGGGTGCAACCCCGGTTTGGTGACTCATAGGGAAGCGTCCCCACGCTCTGAGTCGTACCTAACTGCAAGTCTGAGGACTCACAGTTTTCGTCTTATTCAGCCTCAACAATTCCTAAAGCATTAATCAAGTGGCTCTCAACTTAGCCTGAAGTGTAGAGACAAGGCGGTTTTACCGACCGAACCAAAACATTAGCACAACTATCGCCGGCCGTGAACATCTGTATGTCTTTTCCCCATGTTGCGCAACCTGCCCCCATGGGGCTGTTCGTCACACTCCCCCCCTGGAATGCAGGCCCAGCCGGCATTCCGAGATCACGCTGCCGATGGGTCATATTGGCGCCGTTTTTTCAAATTATGCCCTCTCTTCTTGTCTGTTTCTGCTCTCCGAGAGGCGATCTCCAGAGCGCGTTCTTTCACTTCTGCTCCTGTTTGTGTCTCGAGCTCATTCTCAACTTTCGTGATTCACTTTCATCACCAAACTTTCGTGATTCGTGATGAACACGTCTTCGCATGATTGGGATACTTCCCCGAAGGGCCTCTACCTGGAGGCCCTCGAAGAGATTGAGCCGGAGCTCCGAAACTGGCTCCGCTGTGATGCTACGGCACTGGTCAAGCTCGCCTGGCTCGGCCTCACTGAAGAAGAGCGGGCCCCTTCTCGGGAGGCCTCACGCGTTTGCCGCGGGCGAGTACGGGGCCGCCAGCCCAGCTCGCTCAACGTACCTCCCGCACGCGCACCTCGGGTGCTTGAGTAAGTGATGTTCAGTTCTTGCTCTTTTTCTCCTACCACCATGTGGTCTTTAAACTTAACTCTTTGTTGTGTTGACTCAATTTTGATTTTTATGTAGATACATCGTCCCCTCCGCGTGGCACGCCGGAGACTATATGTACCTGCTGCGCATCACATCGAACAAATGGCCCCGGGCCATGACCGTCCCTGCCGGAACTCCACGGGGGGAAATGACGCTCCCGGAGCCGGCCCCCACCGTGCAGGGCTGCGTGGAAGCTCTTGCCCGTCGCGTCGGTGTCACCGCGGGTACCGGCGGCTCCACGGGCTAGACCCCGGCGCCTCGGTTCCGTCTTACGAGGAGATCCGAGAGCAGATCTTCTCCCGGGTTGAGCCCCAAGAATAAACTTCGCCTCGGGCTTTACTCCAACTTGTACCCAGTATTTTTCCTCTCACCGTCATCCCTGCTATGATCCGTTCTTCCTCGTAAACTGTTTACTCGTCTGGGGAAATTATTGGGTATATTTTCTTGATTAGTCTGATGAATATTTGTCCCCGAGCCGTCTTGACTGTGCATGAGCGAGCTTTCTCTGGTTTCGTGTGCTCTGGGAATCCAATTACTCGGCATAGCGGCCACAGAGCCCTGTTGTGGTTTCTGTCTTCTAGAAGACACACATCTCCGATTTTCAACGGCCGAGCCTCCACCGGAACTCTGTTGTGGGCTGTCCTTAGAAATTGAAGATATTCGTTTTGAAACTTTTTCCAGTACGCGTTGAGAATCCCTTGTTGGTGCGTCCAACGTCGTGAGAATATTATTTGGTCGGCTTCCCCCTTTGTTTTAGGCTTCTTATCGCCGTCGTTTTATATCCGAACATGAGATCTGCCGGGCTGAGGGCCTCGCTTTCATCCGTGCCCGAATCTACTGTTGTGATTGGTCTCTGATTGACCATTGCTTCTATGCCGGACAGGATGACTTCGAGGTCTCTGAAATGTGGAACGTTCGTCCCGAGGACCTTCCTCAAAGGTCTTTTGATTGTTTGCGCTTGTCTTTCGAAAAAGCGCCCGAACCAGGGGCTGGATGGTGGGTTGAATCTCCACTCGACGAATGAGTCAGCGAGCCAGCGTCTTATCTCGGGGTCTCTAATGTGTTCGTAAAGAGTTTTCAGCTCTTTTGCCGCACGGACAAACGAGGTCCCGATGTCGCTGATTATTTGTTTGACATACGGATATCTGTTGACGAATTTTTGAAGAGCCCCGAGGACTTCTGCCGTGGACAAGTCTGTCGTGATTTGAATATTGATTCCTCTTGTCACGCAGCAGGTAAACAGCAAAATGTACCCTTTTCCCGCCTCCCCTGAGTCCTTCTTGTATCTTATTGGACCGCAGAAGTCGCAGCCGGTATAGCCGAAAGGCGCCGAGCGCTCGATGCGGAAGTGAGGAAGGTTTGCGATGGGTAGCTGAGCGGCTTCTGCATTTAAGATCTTGCAGGTCGCGCATTCTCTGATAGTGTCTCTTGCTTGGCGCCGAGCGTGGATCATAAGAAAGTTTTGTCTCAAGCGATGAAGGATTGCGTTGACTCCTCCAAAATGGAAGCATTTGCATTCATGTATATCCTTCAAGACGAGTCGGGACAGATTGCGGTCTGGGAGTATTATAGGTTCCTTTTGATCCGACGAAAGGTCATTCGAGTTGATGAGACGAGTGCTACATCGAATTACGCCGTCCTTATCAATTTTCGGGTTGTATTGAAAGAGTGCGCTCGACTTTTTCGGCTTTTCCCCCTGGTTCCCCAGACCCCCTTTGAAGTACGCTGTTTGGATGAGTCTAATGAGACTCAGCCGGGCTGCCCTCATTTCCGATGGCTCGATCTCGTTGAAGGTTTTTTTACTGGTGTGGCTCGTTTTCTGTCTGCTATTCTCCTTTTTGCGAGGCGAGATTTTTCGATTAATCTCTGCATGAGAGCCCAGAATCTGATTGCTTTGTTCCATGAAGAAAAGCTGTGCTCGAAGAATATTTTCGGTGTGTTTTCCTTTTTGAGTGGGTTCAGCGACATGTTGATCGCGACGGTCGGCTTACATTCGTCTTCCATGACGTTTTCTTTCGGGGAAAGTGCTGCGTTCTCCGCCTTCATCTTCGAGTGTAGTTCCTCGTCCGGTAATTTGAGCCATGACGGTCCCGAGAACCATAATTCTTTGGTCGCTGCCTGGGATATGTCATATCCTCTTGAGATAATGTCTGCCGGATTTTCTAGGCTTCGCACGTAATTAATATGTGCGTGGTCTACCAAGTCCTGAATCCGCCTCACTCTATTCGCGACGAAGGGTATGAATTTTCCTGGCTTAGAGCGGATCCAGCCGATGACACTCGAATTGTCGGTGTAGAAATGTGTATGTATCGCGGCCGTGCCGATGAAAGAGACGATAGATTTGCTCATCCTTGCTCCAATGAGCGCGGTCAGCAGTTCGAGACGGTGTATAGTCATCTGTTTCACCGGGGCTACTCTTGCTTTTGACATAATGAAGGACGTGACCGGATTATCGCCCGGGGCTTGTTCTCTCAAATATGCGACGCATCCGTAGGCCCTCAGCGAAGCATCACAGAAGATGTGTAGAGTGCGCTCTTTGACTGCTGAGCGGATCATCTGTCGTGGGATCGACAGTAGGTCTGCATTTTGAAGTTGTCCGATTATTGCTTCGTATTTAGTCGCGTCTTGTCCTGAGAGCGGAGTTTCCCAGCCCAGTTTTAGCTTCCATGTCTCTTGGAGTAGGATTTTTGCGTTGATGGTGAGGGGAGCTATGATTCCTAGCGGATCGAATACTGATGCTAAACCCTTAAGAAGCTTCCTCTTCGTCGGTTCGCCCGCGACCAATATCTTCAAGGCTTTTTCTTTGGGTACCGACAAACGGTCTGTGGTTTGATTCCATGGTATACCGATAAATTTTGCGCTGACTTGGTCATATGAAACTACGGGGTCCGTGACCGGAGAGTGCTTCTTGATGAAATTTCCGAGATGTTGCGAGTTGGATGACCATTTTTTCAGAGGCATTCGACCCTCTCCGAAGATCGCGAATGCTCGATTATTTCTTGGATGAACTTGGCGTCCTTCGGGCACCTTCGTTGTGCGTCTCTCAAGTGGTGAATCAGACCGCGACAATGTAGATATGGTGAACATACCAACCCGAAGTCGAGTCGATTTGCCCAGAACTCCTGGATCTTAGCTTGCGGGTTGGAACTGATTCCCAGGGGCCATTTGAAGCGCAGGAACGTCCTGTCGTCATCCGCTATTTTGAACTGTTGGAAGGCTCCTTCTATGTCTGCTGTCAGGGCGAATTTGTATTTTTTGAAGTTGAAGATCACCTTAACAATGTCGGGCAGGAGGTTAGGGCCTTGATGTAATACATCATTCAGCCCCGCCAGATTCGACTGCCTCGCGCTTGCGTCCTTAACTAGTCGTGTTTTGAGGCCCGAAGCTGCCTCCGGATTCGTCTTGAAGACCGCTTGGACTGGAAGATAGTGTGCGAGCTCGAAGTTTTTCCTGGGCCGTGCCGGTTCTGCGAAATCCATGTCCAGAAGTCCTTTGATCTCGTTATCGACTGCTTCCAGTTTGGTGGGGTCTTATTGCAGCTTTTTGAGGAGAGAATGTAGTCTGGAGTGGGCCAGCGCCTCATTGTCACCGAGCGTGTGGATGTTTTCCTTGAAAGGAAGACGGAGGATGTAACGGCCTGTGGCATCGCGCTCGGTAGTCCTCCTGAAGTGTTCCTCCAGCGCCTTGTTCAGATCGTCCTCTTCTGCTTTGGTATTGGTGTTGGTATTGGTATTGGTATTGGTATTGGTATTGGTATTGGTATTGGTATTGGTATTGGTATTGGTATTGGTATTGGTATTGGTATTGGTATTGGTATTGGTATTGGTATTGGTATTGGTATTGGTATTGGTATTGGTATTGGTATTGGTATTGGTATTGGTATTGGTATTGGTATTGGTATTGGTATTGGTATTGGTATTGGTATTGGTATTGGTATTGGTATTGGTATTGGTATTGGTATTGGTATTGGTATTGGTATTGGTATTTATTTATCCTCATTTAAGTTTCTTTAAATGACACTTTCACTTCAGTGGCGAGTAGTCTCAGCGGATATTGTTAGTTTCTTCCTCCCACTGCTGTAGGAGTCTCTTGGTGTGGCGTATCATCCTCGAGGAGGGATCTCTGTCAAGTCCCAGTCGTTTCAGTATCTCCTCTTCCTCGAAGAATGCTTCGTTGCATTCGCAGATGACGTGGCCTATGGTTCCGGTACCATTCCACATCTGACACATGTGGATTCAAGTCCCGGCTCGGAGTAAGATCTGTTGTTCCTCGTCCTCAGCATCCCTGCTCGACTAAGTGCCAGTAAGGCGGACCTCTGCTGTTGTCATAGGGGTTCTTAGCTACCCCTCGTTCCGTCGCATTTGTCCTGTATCGGGCCAAGCTAGTTTTCAGTCTCATCGAGTCTTTCCACTTGCTTGTTTCAACCTCGCGAATTCTTCCTTTGATCGCTCTGTCGAGAATTCCGTGGAGCGGTTTTCCTTCTTGCGTGAAAGTTAACGTGATGTCGTCACACTTGAATTCACGCTCCAGCTCCTGCAGTCTCCGATATGCCTTTGTCCTAACTCCGCACTGATCCATCATATCCACTATGGCCTTCGGCCATCTGTGGTCGTGCATGGATTTCACTCTGTTAAAATATCGCAACTTACTTTGGGCTTCTCGCGCCCTGAAAGATGACCAGCCCAGTTCTCCTGTGACGAATTCCGTTGCCACTTTACTGCCGGGG